GCACCGCTCGGACCCCAGGCCCCTCCTCCCAGGGTGGCTCGGGCCTCGCCGACCTGACGCAGCCGGACACCCTTCACACTATCACTCCGTGGCCTCTAGGACTAGCTCCCGGCCCCCTTCCTGCCTCCCTGCAGCTCACCTCGCTGTCTCTTATTCCTGACGCAGCAGTGACCCACACGGAGGCCTTGCGATGACAGTACTTCCTAAAGTCGTGCCCAGCCACGCGGGTGACAGGCTGCCAACCAGTGTCACCAGTGAGTGTGCGGGAGGTTAAGTTCAGGGAGACCGGAGGAGGCAGTGCAGTCAACAGGAAAGGCTTCCCGCATAAAGTCCCTTCTTTTGGGTCCTGAGCAGAGGCCCGAGGTGTGAGGGATCCTAGGCCTTGGGACCCATGGGCGGAGGGAGTGGCCAGGGAAGCGTTTAGAGAGGGGGGGGCCGCCCGAGTGCACAGAGGGCCCCTGGGAGCTGGGACTTGGCCCCAAGGGCAGCAGCGAACCTACTGAAAGATTCTGACCAAATTTAATTAAGAAAAAGTTACCGTCAAAATTTTGTCTTAGAAAAGCCATTAAGACTGTAATGTGGGGCCCTAACCGGTTTGGCTCAGTGGATAGAGCGTTGGCCTGCAGACTGAAGGGTCCCAGGTTGGATTCCAGTCAAGGGCATGTACCTTGGTTGCAGGCACATGGGGGGGGGGGGGGCGGGGGGGGGCGTGCAGGAGGCAGCTGATCATGTTTCTCTCTCATCGATGTTTCTAGCTCTCTATCCCTCTCCCTTCCAATCTGTAAAAAACCAGTAAAATATATATATATTTTAAAAAAGACTGTAATGTGGGAAACAATGGGTCACCCAGGCTGGGGGAGAGGATGGCTGTGGGAGTGCAAAGTGGACAATACAGAACTTGTCGGGAGGATGAGATGTGGGGGTGAAGAGCCCAGGACAACCTCAGGTGCCTCTGTTGACGAAGCAGATGAAGGAGAAACTCACCAATATGAACATGGGGAGCTGATTTGGGGGGCTCCTTTGCCGGTATGTCCATGTTCTTCTGGGCTGTTCATCTGCTCCCACAGCTTCAGGCATCATCTGCTTCAGACAAGGGCTTGACTGCCCTCCACCAGAATACACAGACATACAGAAATTCAGGTATTCAACAAAGATTTAGTGAGCACCTACTGTATGTCAGATAGCATTTAAGGTGATAGGAATATTTACCAGTTAAAAACAGTTAACAAAACAATTAACTAATATTCCTGATCCCCTGGAGTTCACATTCTAGTGAAGAAGAGACAGATAATGTAAATAAATCCATCAGAAGTGACAAGTGCGATGAAGAAAAATAGAGCAGAATAAGGAGAATAGAGAGTGGTGGGCAGGGGTTGCAATTTAAATTTTTAAAAATATTTTTTACTGATTTCAGAGAGGAAATGAGAGGGAGAGATAGAAACATCAATGATGAGAGAGAATCATTGTTAGGCTGCCTCCTGCACCCTCCCCACCCTCACTAGGGATTGAACCCACAACCCAGGCATGCACCCTGACCTGGAATAGAACAGGTGACCTCCTGCTTCATGAATCAACACTCAACCACTGAGCAACACCAGCTGGGTATGGGGTTGCAATTTTAAAGAGGGCAGACTAGGAAGGCATCACCAGGAGGGTGACCGTTGAGCAAATACCTAAAGGAGATCAAGGATTGAGCCATGCAGACTTCTAAGTGAAGAGTGCTTCACGCATAGGCCACAGGGCAAGGGTCTCGAGGCAGAATGTGCCTTAATTGTTCAATGAATGAAAAGAAGGCTAGTGTAGCTGGGATAGAGTGAATGAGGGAGGAATAGAATGGGTGAGAGGGAGGTAAGAGGCGGGAGCACATATGGCCTGTAGACGATTGGGTTATACTCTGAGTGACATGGGAAGTGTTGGAGGGTTTGGACAGAGACCAGACATGAGCCTCACATACTGAAATAATGGTCCTCAACTCTGGCCCCAAGTTAGAATCAGTTGGGGTGCTTTAAAAATACCTCTGCCTGGGCCCCACTTCCTATCAACTAAATTAGAATAGTTTGGGTGAGGTGCAGACACAAGAACTATTTTTGTTGTTGTTAATCCTCACCCGAGGATATTTTCCCATTGATTTTATTTATTTTAGAGAGAGTGCAAGGGAGGGAGGGAGGAAGAGAGAGAAACATCAATTCAAAAGAGAGACACATGGTTGCCTCCTGAATGCACTCCATCTGAGCCCCGGATCGAAGCTACAACCCAGGTACTTGCCTTGACCGGAATTGAGCCTTTGGTGCATGGGCCAATGTTCTAACCACTTAGCACCGTGGGCCAGAGCCATAAGAACTTTTTTTAAAAAAAACATTTTTATTGATTTCAGAGAGGAAGGGAGAGAGATAGATAG